TGAACCCGCCCCCTCTTCTTCTTCCTTACCTTTGGGAGATGATGACCGCGATAACATATCTGGACCCCGAATCTTTCGGCATTTAAATGTATTATGTCTCCCTGGAGTTGATCTGCCTTTTCCGCCAGTGGTCGAAAGCATTTAGCTGATCGATAGGGCGCACGAATACGAACGGTTAACGTGTTTGGTTCCCAGTCCCACCTCCGCCGTCTTCCTGTTATTTTCGCTAGAGAGTGCGATGGCCTAAACAGTCCAAATTTAGCCACACCTTCAAGCTTCATGTATCCGTCGAATATTTCTCAGGCGTTGATTTCAGTGCGACATTCCTTTTACTGCCTGCACTGGTTAACGGTACAGATTTAAGTGGCCCAAACAAAACCTGAAAGGTTGGGGAGGGCGTAACTTTTCCGAAGAGCCCCTCGAGGGTTCTGCCCCGATTGTAAGCTTACAAGCACAGTCCTATGTAGGTTTTGGAGTAAATAAATCAGGACTACCTGTATATGAGCCCTGCCAAGTAAGTGACCCATGTTCTTGCCAACGTGTTAGTGCATGCGTATTGAAAGGCTACCATGTCACCGCTGACGCATGATCCAGGGCAAGGGCGGTTTTAGTAGAAAGTACCCTAAGCGGTGTTCTTGCATGCGCAGGTGCGTGCGTACGGAAAACTGCGTACCAACACATCGGAAGGAATTTTACTTTCTTATCAAAAAGGCTATTCCCAGGCTGTTCACCGATTTGGTGTGATTTCAGAAGGGGAAGTGCACACCCCTCGGGTGCTCTCAGGTGGCAGTGAAGTGACTGGCATGGCACATGTTTATGGCTTATTGAAGGCCACAAGTCAAGCAACCCAAATTGGTTAATGACTTCAGGAAAGGTGAGAATGACTTGTTGAGTGGCAGTGATTTGGGGGGCGGTAGTAGAAAAGATGCGAAACTTAAACTGACAACAGGTAAACGTCAATAACTGGTTGCGAGCCGACAAGACATATATGCTGTCAGTCAGAGAACAAAGTAAAGTTATAGGTGAGCCAATCATGATGAGATCAACCACAGCGATGGAATGCTCAGTGTGTGCTCTCTTGCCAAACTTGCAGTACGCACAGACCGAAAGAGTATAAGTTGGCAAGAGAAGATTTGATGAAGAGGTACGTGGCAATCCACAAAGAGTAGTCAACTCGATGGTTTAAACATAGAACTGTCGAACAGTCCAGAAGACTGGAATAAGAGCAGATCTGCCGTCAAGTTGCAAATAGCGGCAGCATCCCACGCAAATCAAGAACAGCACTCGGTGCTGTCACAAACTACCAAGTGGACGCGACTGTGTTAATGCCGAGATTAAGGTTAAGAACAAGAGCAAAATTGTTTTTAGACAGTATGCCAAGTCAACAGTATCGTACATAAAAGTCATAGTTAATGTGGGGACAATCCGTTTATCTAAGTTCAAAACTTGCGGAAAATACGTAGCGGTTAAATAATCAGTTTCAAATTACATTAATCAGTCCTTCGCGGCTGGTACGAGGGCTACTGTAGGGCTCCAGTTAGAGAAGAAGTTAAGACATGAGAGTAGGAATATTCCAGTAATAAGAGTGACCTTGTGCAAAATTCCAGGAAGAGGAGGTACTACCAAGTCACAACCCTAACCTTAAAACAAATGCTAGCCTCCTTGGAAATTAGTGCAAGGCCCCTGAAATGAGCGCTTACTATTCGAGTGTCTTGTCATGAAGAAACTAATTTTTTTCTTCCGGCATGAGCAACGCTTTTTATAGTAGCCTGCAAACAGATGTTGCCTAAGCAGAGACGACCTTGAAACCAAATAAGAGATCATGTAAAAGTTGTAAACCCTCAAAGTAGTAGAATTAAGAAAGAATTCCCTACTTAATACCCTGGTCGAACACACGAATAGGCGTTCCCGAGGGTACCTAGTCTCGTGTCCTTACCCTAACTTTCCTGGAAATTAGAGCAAGGCCACATGTTATGAGGGAGGGGATAGCCACTCTCGTATGTTACCGATGTCGTTTGCGACGGCACTTGGGGACTTCCAAAACACTCCGACTTCCATCGGTATCTGCGCCCAAATACAGTGATGCGCGGCTAACTTAAATGTGTCCGATGATAAACGTCTAATTGGGCTCCCACTTGCAAAAACTTGAAAAGTTGTATACTCATTCTCCCTGCTTAAGTTGTGAGTTTGCAACGGGACATGCTAGTAGGTGTTACAAAGAACGAAAACTGTGCGGAGGCATAACCTAAGGCGAAACGAAGGCGTAACTACGTCCGGTGCAGCGAGCCAAAACGGCCGCGGAACGCGCATGTAAGCGCGTGTAAGCTTGTGCTGTCGTATCGAGCTCACGTGATGCTTTTTTTCCGCGCGCTGTAACAAGCCACAAATCCAACTGGGTTGTTTGAATGTGCCAAAGTACTTTTTGGCACGGATCCCGGACGAGGATGTTGTTCTCCATTGTCTGCGAAGCTGACCGGTGTGCCTTCCCTCTCTATCGCTGACCTCGCTCCTCCCCCCCCCGCTACCGTTACCGCATCCTTTCGCAGGCCCCCTACCGTCACCACCTCTACGGCCCCCACCCGCAGTTGGTGACAGCGCTGCACTCCCCACCGGAATCTAACTGATATTCCCTGACCACCCCTCACTCCAAACAGACCTTTTGTACCGTACCTTGATAATTTGTTGTATCCTTTCCCTTTTCACCATTGATCCATTTCTTTACTTTACAGATCTTATAATTTACTAACTCGTTTTTCTTCAACGCTTCCATATATGTGTCTGCTGTGGTGATTATCAATTCCGTCCGGTGTCACATAACTGGAGCACCATACAGGTGAACTTTTCCTTCGTACGTGTGCCAACCTCAACGTCTTCGGCCGCTACAGCGTGCGGCGGATCGAATACTTGAGATTTTCCCGCGCGGGCATTCTCTCGCACGAAACGGCCAATCAACGACCGACACCACAGGCAGGAAAATTCTGGAACGCACTTCACGATTGACGCGATAGGCTGGAATGTTCCAGAACGTTCAGGACACAAAATGAATAGGGCGTTCTTCGACGAGAAAAAGCCGCATGTGTTTGCAAGTTGATAATAAAGTGCATGTTTCTCGAACCTGGTCTCCTTCTCTTCCAACTACCCGCCGAACTATAACAACGTTTAAGCAAAAATTCGAGTTCACTGCAGTCCACATATTTACAACTATAAATCTAGTAGCAATGTGTGCCTTGCAGACACGCCAGTTCCATCATACGCCCAACGCAGGTAATAA